AGGAAGTCCGGGATGAACCACAACCATTTATGCCATTCTTTAAAGAAAATGCTTCTTATCTCATTTATCCTAACAACAGGCCTAAAAGGTAGATCACTATTATCATCAACTCTGGGTTGCAGACTAAGAACCTCCCCATGTATCCTTTTTGCACTGCTCCCTGATTGGCTCTGAAGTTGCCTTTACCCACAATATTGGCTTATGTTGCAGTAAGCCAGCATTTTTCCTCCTCACTGACTAATTTAAAACCAGAACAAAGCTGAGGCTTTGGAGTGCTCTGTTCTTCTGTTGGCTTGGCTCTTGCCTCACCAGCCTTCCAGCTCTTAGGTGTAAGCAAGCTCTTATCTGCTGCAGTCTAATTATGCAAGGAAAAGAACTGGGGCGAGAACCATCTTAATCCTTCAAATCAGTTTCCAGTTAGTTTCACGCTCCTCTGTTTAAAAAAGCAACCCCAAAAAATCTGCCTGAGATTATTTTCTATGTGGATAGAAGTAGCAGGCACAGAGTTCCTGCCCCAGCCAGCTTCTCCTCATCATTCCGCATACATAAAGAGAGAGGTTTTGTACAGCAACCTCCAATCATAATTTGATTTGTTGTGAAAAACGGGCCAGCTACAAGAAAGCCACCATGCTGTCCTTCCAGGATCACAGCTAATAAAGGCTTTTTAAGCAATGAATGGAATGGTGCCTTCACAGCAGGGAACTCCCCCAACAATTGCAAATGACCACTCAACACATGTTCTGAAAAGGCTGCTGCTTCTTCCTCTTCCTCCTTGATATTCATTGCTCCAGGAATTGTAGCAACTCAGATGGTGGACACTGCTTAAATTCTGTACCGAAAACTCTCCTGTTGATCAGATGGACAAAAACATTGAGCGGCTGGGAGCATTTCCTGCCTGTTCACAACATTTCAAGAGTGGCCTGTGGAACAGGTTCCATTGCATTCAGTGTGACTTCCTTCCTAGGAGGAATGTATAATACAGGTTTGAAAGGTTGTAAAAGAATTTTGGAGCTATTTCCCACTTTTCATACACATTCTTCAAGTCCTCCATTAAAAGGTGGAACATAATTGAAGCCCATTCAATTTTGAAATTCTCATCATTGACTCTTGTTCTCCTTTTCCTGGTCATCTCCCCCAATCTATGGCTTTACTATAATTTCTCAGTAGGAAATGATCCAGTGACTCTAGTTATGTTAAAGAGAATTAACAAGTTGTTCTTTATGGCAATGTACCAACAGTTTTGCATGGGGTTTGAATTGGCAAAGTTAATCCAAGGAAACCTCTAAACAAACAGGAAGGGTTTTGTGGGCAGGATGACTGACTTTTAAAATTATTTTTAAGTAAATATAGAGAAAATGGTTATGACACGAAATCAGATGACCAGTGAAGTTCATAGTAAAGTAGCATCTTGATTTTTGGGAAATGACAAAATGAAAAATGTGGTAACCAGTGTTGCACCCCAAAAAGGTTCTTTGTAATTGCTTGAAAGTTCCCATTACTTTGAAATGTTTCACTCTTTGTAACTCTAAATGTAAGTATAATTAAAGCTACTCCAGGAAGACCAATATATCAACAGGAACGGGACTGGAAGCCTGTAGATTCTGGATGAGTTTGTATGCCATCATCACTGGCCCCACCATCAGCTGATACTGATATGAGTTAGAATCCCACATCCTGCTGTCCTACTTGATGCTGGTTAACTGTTTCACCACTGAGTGTTTTTCCAGTTATTCTTGAAGATAGTACAGATTGGTCCTAGGATCTGCTTTGTTTTTAAACTCTAAGTGATACAGCTACATATTTTACATCATCTCATGAAATGACAAGCAGGCATTCTCTTTTTGATTGTAAAATAATCCCAATTAATATTCTCTTCTGGCTATCCATCCTTTTCCAATACTCATTCAGTCAGAATTTAGACTTCCTGCTTCATGGCAATGCTTCTAGAAATCTGTCTCCTCTGCTTCTTTTACTGTTGAAAAATATTTAAGAAGAAAAGATCAAAGCAACTTAATAAGGAAGAGTTTAAAAAAACTTGGGACACGGAAGTGAAAAACAGCAAAAACCCTACCAAAGAGAAACTGCATTGTTCAAAAGTACCTATCAATACTAGGCCTGAAGCCTCAATGGGGTCCTGCAGTGTGATAAAATGCACCTTCTAGATTGCTGGGGAGTAGCACCAGCGTCAAACCTTTTCACCTGAAGCACATCAGATCAGCTGCTTTGCATTTCAGATCTTTCCCCCAGGTGTGATGCTGGGGCAATGGAAAATGGCTTGCATATAGGCTGTTGACTGAAGGCCTAAAAGTCCTGCTCTGAAGTGGATCTCTTTCCAGTGATTGGAGCCCAAACACCTTCATAAATAGGCCCCGCTTCACCCAGCCCTCCTTACCGTACTTATCCTTTCAAAAAGAGGTACAGCGTTTTAAACATCCATAAGTAATATTTTCATCCAACAAACGTTTGTATAATGGTATGGCTTAGGTTATAATTAAAACAAGTATTTAGTGAAATACCTTTTTTTTTTTTTTTTTTTCT